ATCCGAACCCGGGCCGCCAGCAGCGGAGCGCACGCACTTAACCGCTAAGCCACGGGGGCCGGCCTTAGCAACTTTCAAATATGCAATATAGTATTATTAACTATAGTCACCATGCGGTACCATGGGACTTTCTTAAATGCAATAGGCAGCCACCTCTATCAGGTCCTTTACAAATGCTATGCCCTGTCCAGAATGCTATTCCTTCCTCTCTTCACTAAATAACACCTACTCATCCTTGTTTTTTAGGAATAACTTTCAGATTTAACTCTGTATCTTCCATGACTAAGTCATTTGTCTTTTTTCTTGAAAATTATCACCTTAACTGAGGATTTTCCATATATGTTAAATTACGAGTTCACAGGCACAGTTTGAGCAAGATTTAAAAAGCTATCTTCTTGAGTTATATGATCATCTAAATCCAAAACCACTCACAGAATTGAGCAAACAAAGCCAGTATTTGCATATTAGGGAGAGGAAATATTTGCTGATAGAAGCCACAGGCCTAGTCAAAAATGTTTTATATTAAGTGGTAAATGAAAGAATTCTACCAAAGACCACTACCTCAATAAAGACCCTCAGGTTATTGCAGCTGCAAGGGAAGTTACAGCAAAGCTACCTCAGAATAAATGGCAGTCTTTTTTTTTTTGGGGGGGGGAAGTCAGCTGTGAGCTAACATCCATGCCAATCCTCTTCTTTTGCTGAGGAAGACTGGCCCTGAGCTAACACCTATTGCCAATCCTTCTCCTTTTTTTCCCTTTTTCTCCCCAAAGCCCCAGTGGATAGTTGTATGTCATAGCTGCACATCCTGCTAGTTGCTGTATGTGAGACGCCGCCTCAGCATGGCCGGACAAGCGGTGCATCAGTGCGTGCCCAGGATCCGAACCCAGGCCACCAGTAACGGAGCGCGTGCACTTAACCGCTAAGCCACAGGGCCGGCCCCTAAATGGCACTCTTAAAAGCAGATACATTAGCAAATAATTTCAAGGGCTCCCCTCCAACTCTCTCCAAAAAAAGTAGCCCTTTGCTCTTCAGGGACAGTCTAGAGTTACCTGCAAGGAAGCACCACTCGTCCTTCAGATCTCAGCTTAAACCTCCTTTCCTCAGAGAATCCTTTGAAGGACTCCCCTTCCTCCCTCCTATGCAACTAGATCAGGTACTCTGCTATAAGAGCTCTTGGCTCCATACTTTTTCTTCAGAGCTATACCAGTTTGCCATTACTCTGTGGTTTCATCCTAACTAATGCCTACCTTCCCCACTAGGCCATAAGCTCCTTGAAGCCAAAGGTTGCATCCATTTTGCTCACCACGGTGACCCCAGTGCCTAGCACGAGAATTCAAGTATTTGCTGACCAAGAGGTCCAGTTTGTCAGCAATCAGATATTTAGGCTTAAAAAAAAGCACAGAGGTCTGGCTTAGAAGTAAAACAGTGAGTCAGCAGCATTGAGGTAGTTTAAGATCAAGTTTTTGAGTAAGAATACACAAAATGGGAAGAATAGAGCTGAGGACATACCCTGACAAACCACTACATTTAACAGGCAAGCAGAAAAAAGGAAGCCCCAAAAGATGAGAAAGAACAACCAGAGAGGTAGGAGGCAAGAGTAGCCAACAAATGGGGCAAAGGGAGAGTGGTGGTCAGTTTTTAGATTTTTTGTTAGAGTGGGAGAGATGTCCACAAGTTGATAAGCTGGGAGTAAGTCATTTCCCTGGCAGGAAGAAGCCCAGCATGGCATCTCCACAGCACCCCTGCCTGGCCCTGACTCCACTACTGAGTGGCACCATCTGGGGAAGTCAGAACCAGACAGCAAGTGTCCACTGCCAGAACTCTGACTTCGGCCTCTCCTGCTCCACCACGGAGCCGAGGAGAAAGCTCTGGCTCTGCCCTCCGGGGACAGGCTGACTTGGCCTCCCGCAGGCTGGTTCAAAGACCAAAGGCATTTCACCCAGTCCCAAATGAACCCAAGAGTGGGAGGAGGGAAAGAGTTCACTTTCCTGACTCTGCATGAAGCTAAAAGGAGTCAGCCTGGTCGGCAGATCACACACTGCCTTGGCTTACAGAGCCCCAAGCTCACACCAGAGGGAGACAGCCCGATGGAGCAAAATGCTACGCTTCCCCCCTCAAAACACACACACACACACACACACACACACACACACTTCTCGGACATCTCTCTCCACCCTCAACCCAACAACATAACATTGGAAAGTCCTCTGCCTTTCATAGTGGAAGCACTTCCACCACAAAGGGGTAATCATTTGCTAAATTATGCAAGAACCTTTGCCTTCATTACTGAGGTCAGGAGATGAACTGCCCAGTCCCTGTGTTATGTAAAGCATAAGGCCAAGAAAACATCTAAAATCTATGTCCAGAACATTTCCCCCCACAGCACTGGCCCCAGTGGGGACAGTCTTGTGACTCCTTCAGGGCAAACTCAAGCCCTTCAGTTACATAATCCCATAGCATCCTGTCCTCCTTTGCAACATGTTGGGCTTTTGTAACTGTCACTTTCTTGTTATTTACAGTTATTTGTGGAAAGTCTGCCTCCCCTGACAGACTGTAAGGTTCATGCTGTAGCTCTCATCTGCCCTCTAAAAATACTCACTGCCTGCCTGAAATGCATTCCAACTTATTCCTGGGTTCCCTTGGCATCAGTATGTCACCTCTGGTAAGTCAAACTCAGAACCCCCCTTGGTTACAGAAGTAAGAGCTGGCTTTCTTTCACGAAGCTACAAATTGTCTACCCTACCTATACTGAGTCCTATCTGGTCTCCAAGTTTTCTTCCACAGTAACTCTCCCTCTTCCCACAGAAGCCACAACTAGTACTCCCTAAAAAGGTCACTCTCATGTCCAAGTGGCTCAACTTCTGAAGGAGTATGGTTCCACTCCTGGGAACAAGGGAGAAAGTGGAAATCAATCAGGTGATTGACCGATACCTCCCTTTCCTTCTGGGATTAGAGAATGTCACAGCTCAAAGACATCAGGGATCCAAGATCTCAGTTTACAGAAGAGGAAACTAACGCCTAGAAAGGTTCACATTGATTGAGGCAGCATGGTGAGCATTTGTGGCACACGTGTTCCTGCACTAAGCACTGTGGCAGACATAACAGCTGAACAACAAACAGATCCAATCCTGTTTATCCATCCAAAGATCTGACAATAGCTAGGGCCTTATTTTCCCAAGGTCACAATGCTCAGGGTCACCTAGATAGGTCCTCTATCCACTACAGGGTGCTTGTTTTAAGAAGGAAATAAAGAGAGAGAGAGAAGAGAAAAGAGGGAAACAATGAAATAACCTACTACCTCTCCTGAAGTAATGCTCATCCTCCCAGAGAGAGCTGATTTTCTCTGGCAAACAGCATAAGAGCTCGGAGAACAGGCTTCCAAACTTCCTCTGGGGTATCCTCTTGCAAGGGTGTGGGGAGGAGGGGAGTACCCAAGATTTCTCTGTTTGTAGCCCCAGGTCGGGAGAAAAAAAAAACATCATCGCTGGTACTCACATCAGAGGAAGATCAAGGCAGCCAAAGACTCAAGCAAGTCAGACCCAATGACTGCTGATGGGTGAAGGCTGGTGTCAAGGCTGCCTAGAGAAAGTTGGAGAATGAGACTATTAAAGGAGCAGGTCCAGGTATATGCCTCTACACACTCATGTGACTCCAAGGCAACCACGACCTTAGACACTGGACAACTTAGAAAGAGAAGGCTACCTTGCCTTTTTCACAAAATAACCAACAGGCTAGAGATGGGTAGACTGTAGAAGTGCATGCTCTGAATTAACCATTCATCTTGTACCTCCTTAGTCAAGGTTCTGAACTGCATTTTCTCTCCAAGGATCTGAAGCAGGTATGCAGGTAGCAGATGTTTAAAAAATACTTTAGTTGAATGCATAAATAGCTAAGGACCATTCAGGGAAAATCTGCCTTCATTCCAATGATCTTAATTAAGCTAGAGAGCCTGCTGGTAGGAAGAGGGGCAAAGCCCAAAAACCTAGATGAAAGTATTAATAATAGCTTAGCCCTATACAGCACTTCCTATGTGCCAGGCAATGTTCCAAGTACTTGACATATAATAATGCTCACAAGAACCCAATGAGGTAGGTAAGAGCCACACACATCTGCAAACCTCCAGGTGTATAATCCATGCCCACACTTTATCAGCTCTTAAAACTTCTGAGTTTACATCTCAAACATAAACTACTCCGTTCCTCCTACCTGGACAATACAATAGTGTTTAAAAGCACTTTCTCAAGCGTCAGAAAGAACTAAGTTCAAGTCCCGACTCATTGCTTAAAATAACCAATGTATCCCTTAAAATAACCAATTTCTAGGGTTGTGAGAATGAAATGAAATCCTGTATGAAAAGCATTTCAGTAGAAAGGATGTAATTTCCGTGAGGGCACATTTTGTCCCCTGCTACGTCTCCTAGCCTAGAATAGGACCTGGCACATACGTGATAACTCTTCTTCGAGTCCTCCGCACTGGGAAGGAGTGGGAGGTAGCACCTCCCAACTCACCCAGAATCCCTCTCGTTCTTCCTTGCCTGGAAGTGCAAGCCCATTTTTGCTTCCTTCGGGACTGCAGAGGGCGCACCGCCTGCTCCAACGTAGCTTAGCAAAACCTGGTAATCCCAAAACGCCTTTCACGCCCTCTGTCAGCTCACCTCAGCGCTCAGGGCCAGTCCTCAAGCTGCTTCTTGCCCTCCAACAGACATCCTCCCACCACCGGGACTCCTCCATCACGACTCTAACACGGTGTGTGTGGAGACGGGTGCGCAACCCATAACGCCCCCGCCCCTCAGCCTGGCACATGAAAGCGCTGGGGGCCATAAGGGAGAGATCCATGGGCAGCCCAAGACCACTCCTTGTGCCACGTGGCTTCGGCAAGTGGAAGCCTGGCCCGCGCTACAGCCCCGCCTAGGGAGAGTCAGGATAGAAATCCAAGCTCCCTCCCAGGATGAGGGAACTGGAGGTAGATGCGGCGGGCGGCCTTGTCCCAAAACCCCTTACCTGGTCCCGGCAGGAATGCACTCAAGCAACTGCCACCAGACGCACCCCGCGTTGGAAGTCAGGCGAGGATGCACTTCAGGCCACCGCCCAGGAACCGCCCCTTGCCCCGCCCCCACGCGCCTCCTTCCCGACCAATCACAGGCCGGGCGGCCCCCCCCCAGCCACGTGGGCGAGACTTCTCTGTTGGCGGGGTCTCTATAAACCAGCCGCCGCCTCCCGCAGCTCCAGCAGCCCGCCCGCGCAGTGGGAGGGCACCTTGGCGCGCTTGCGCACTTTGGGGAAAGCGGAGCTGGACCCCGCCCCGTCCTGCTGCTTTGCTCCTCCGCTGTGCGTGCGAGGGACGTCGGGGGCGGTGCCGCAGCAGTTGCCCCTGGTAACGGGGGAGGCAGCAGGAGGAGGAGGAGGAGGAGGAGGGACTCGGCGGGAGGATGGTGAGTGTGGGGGGCCTGGGCCCCTCTGGAGGCGGCCGGTCATTCCCCTCCCGTCCCCAGGCCCAGGGCGGGGCACTGTGCTTACAGCCAAGGAGGGAAGGGGACGGCGCTCAGCCTGCTGTCTGGGTCCTGGATTGGTTTCGGGGGGCGGCGGGGAACCCCGAGGGAGACCGGGGCCTGGGGAGGAAGGCGGGGCTTACAAAGGGTCCGAAGCTGGAGGAAGGGGCTGGAAGGGTGCCTGGCTGTCCGCGTACGGAGCCCGGGCTCCATCATTGCTCTGGAGACTGGAATGAGGGCGGATCTGAGGAGCGCGGAGAGCAGCCTCCGCACGCAGGCTTAGATCTTCCCAGGGAATCGGCCTCCCCACGCTGCAGGAAAGTGGGGTCCGCCAGGGCCGGGCCAGAAGCGGGGAGAAGGGCCAGCCCTACTGTCTTTGAGGTCGCCCTGGCGGTACCAGGGGAGATAGTAGCCTAGCTCTCCCTTTCCTCGCGGAGTGCGGGCCTCTGGGGGAGGGGTATAAATCCCAGAACGCGAAAGAGGTGCCGCTCGGAAGGGATGCCTGGTGGATTTTACGCCGCCTCGGTGACTGCGTGGCTTGCGCGCTTCTGCAATCCCGAGTTATTTATTTATTTGCTGAGAGTTCTGCAAAGTCTGGTTGTTGGTGATGACCAATTTTCCGTTCAATACTTAATCCATGTTGATGGAGGCAGATTTGCTGCCTGCTCTCTAGTATTTCCTTCGGAACCTGTTGCAACCATCTTTTGCATATGTGACCGCACCAGAACCAAAGGTCTTCATCTCAGCTTGGGGTCTCCAAACTAAAAAGAATGAGAAATTAAAACTGGAGAGTGGCCGTCAAGTTGGGGCAAGACTTTTCTCTGACAGACCTAATTAAAGCTTTCCCAACTTGTAAATTATGATGTGCGGTAGATTTGACCGTTGACACTGTTACTTGTTGATTTCTGTGCAGTTAGTTGGAGGATGTTAAAATGGAATTGAGTAGTTTTAGAACTAGTCAAAGAAAAAATGATTTTGAAGTATTCAGAGCAGGTTGGTTGGCTTCCCAGCTGTAAAGAGCCAGCACCCAAACTTAGAGTTACTTCCCTGCACCAACCCCAGTCCTTTTTTGACTTTTAGAAGTGGTTGAACCACTTCTATTGATTTATGAGGTAAGAAAAAGCTAGATGTCCACACGGGAAAAAAATACACGTACCCTTGGTCAGATTATGCAAAGAGTAAATTTTGATAGGGAAAAAAATCTCGATTGATTTTACATTGTCAGATTGTTAAAGAGTAGAATTATTTGATCTGAAGTTGTCAATCACATTTCACACTTGCTACATTGCAGTTTTATTAACCTCAGGCTAAACAGATTTTTACATGTTTTCTTTTTATTAATCGTTTATACATGAGCTGTCCATTTAAAGGCTAAGTTTTTCTCAACAAATGAATACAAATGTAAATATTTACACAGAAAAGAACGAGAATTGAAATGAAAAAGGCATGCCAAGCCAGCAGAGAATGTCATCATAAATGAGAGTTGGCTAACTTTTCCCAGTTTATCAATTAAGTGGACTATGTAATTTCATGATTGTTTACTTTGTAATTACAGGCCACAATAAATTAACCACTTCACCTGTTTCCGGGTGCAGATTGACACTGTATACAACAAATTGACAGTGTATACAACACTGTTGTATACAACTGTTGTATTCAATGATCAAGACAGATTTTGTTTTTCTTTTTCTTTTTTCCTAAAAGGAAGAATAAGAAATTAGGACAGATTCCTCTGGATTCTTTATCTGGTATCCCAAATACATTTTTTTTTCTATCTCCAAAAGTGTGAGCTATTCTTAGAACTGAAAGTGGAACACAGAATTTAAACGGTCAGGGGTGTGATTAAGTGTGTCACATCTGGTATCTCATGAGCCCCCATGGTAACTGTACAGCTGAATAGTGAGTCTCAGTTTTTTTTTTTTTAAATACCTTCAGCTATGACTAATACATAATTTATTTTTTTTAATTTGGGGTACTGCAACAAAAACCCATTATTGGTTTCTCTGAAATTTAGGGTCAGCTATTTTACCCCTGCCTTATGATACCAAGTCCTTGGTGAAATACTAAGATGACAGTAATTTTAGTGCGTAACTAATACTTGTTATTTAATAGGTGACTCATTCAGGAATTATTTATAGAGTACTTTTAACACATATGTGAACCTAGTGGTCCTTATTGAGCATATTAAACATTTGAAGATTGTTCCCAAGATTATGTTTTCTGGTCAGAAAATGGTCAGTGAAAAGTAAAAAAAAAATAAACACAACTACTGTTTTGAATGCGTATTATGCACCATGCTTTACATACCTCATTTAATCTTCATAGCATTTTTCTTGAGATATAAGTATTGTTCCCATTTTCTTGATGAATCTGTGCCCAGGGTTACACATATAGGGAAGTTGAATACAAGTCTATGAAACTCTAAAACCCATATGTTCTTTTCATTAGGACTCTGGTGAAGTAGCAACCTACTCTTCCTGAGGAGATGCCCATATTTTGTTCCTCAGGAAACATTGTATTTATTTAGTAGAGAGATGAGGAGAAAGAATACAAAGTTTGGGTGAGGTTCTCTCTATCAAAGCTATAGGAGTTCCTGGAAATTAATAAGTTCTCACTGGACAGCACCAATTTTTTCATTAGTTTAAAGAGGTAAAAATAAATTGAAGTCATTTCCATTTCCATTTAAGCTAGTTATGGGGAGTGCATGTACTTGACAGTTTGCTTACTAATTTTATTTATTTATTTATTTATGTATGTATGTATGTATGTGAGGAAGATCAGCCCTGAGCTAACATCCATGCCAATCCTCCTCTTTTGGCTGAGGAAGACCGGCTCTGAGCTAACATCTATTCCCAGCCTTCCTCCTTTTTTTCCCCAAAGCCCCAGTAGATAGTTGCATGTCATAGTTGCACATCCTGGGCCGGCCCGGTGGCTTAGTGGTTGAGTGCGTGCATTCCGCTGCTGGCGGCCCGGGTTTGGGTCCGGGGTATGCACCAACTCACCGCTTCTCCAGCCATGCTGAGGCGGCATCCCACATACAGCAACTAGAAGGATGTGCAGCTATGACATATAACTATCTACTGGGGCTTTGGGGGGAAAATAAATAAATAAATAAAATTATAGTTGCACATCCTTCTAGTTGCTGTATGTGGGACGCGGCCCCAGCATGGCCGGAGAAGCGGTGCGTCGGTGCACGCCCGGGATCCGAACCAGGGCTGCCAGTAGCGGAGTGCGCGCACTTAACCGCTAAGCCACGGGGCTGGCCCATGCTTACTAATTTTAATATTTACATTTTAGCTGCTCCTCACAGCCACATATATTTACCCTATACCAACACATTCCTCTCTCCTCCTCTGCCACCCTAGTTTCTTTGAACGACCTAGTTTGTATCATTTTAGGTCCGTGCGCCATGCCTCTGCTAGTAGTTAAGCTGATTTTGAGGCAGATAAAATGTCTACAGTCAATAGCACATCTATTCATGATTTGTCTATAGAGAAGTTTGTTTAAATGTTCTGTGGCTGATCAGACCATTTCTGTTTACCAGGGTGCAGACAACTTGTATACACTCATGCTGATAACATACAATATACAATTAACTAAAGTTCTTGTTTGTGAAGTTGCCTTTATTTAATGTCACTGGAGTACAGATCCTACATAGAGATCGTGTCTGCTTTGCTCACTATTGTAGTTGGAGTACCTTATGAGTGTTTAAAGATAAATGAATGAATGAACGAATGGATGGATATTTTGACCAAAAATACACTTTAAAAATTCATTTCCTTGTATTTATACTGCAAAATTCAGCCCCATAATAAAAGTAACTTTAATGGCTATCTTCCTTCATTTGACATTTAAAATAAAGTATGGATATACATGGATAGAAGCATAGAATAGGTTTATTCTGCTCTCTTATGTCCAGCCTCTTAAATCAGCTTACTTTGTACCTTTCAGGCAGAACCCTGATATCTATAAATATCCTCTTCCCTATTTAGCAAACCCTGATAATCCTGTGATCCCCTGTCCTCAGTAGTTGGGTTAATATGATGCTGTGTTGTATTTGCATGTGTCTTCCCTAGACCATGCTTGAGATGCCATTTATCGTTTTGCTGGAAGAAAATATTAACTGAACTTTCCATTTCTCTGTAATTTCACTTAATGGGGAAGCATATGAAGTTATTGTTTCCTGATGAAGAAAATTACTCATTAGAAATGTGGAAGTATTATTTTTTATCCCATTAGGTGAATAAAGTTTAGCTATAGTTAGAATGGTTTCTTTCTCATCTGTGCTTTGCTTCTCTCATTTTAAGATGAATAGAAATTATGTTTTTCTTTTAATTATTCAATTTCAAATATAAAAAGTCTCAGCGTGCAGAATGCAGTATTTTTATTTACCGACTTTTTTAAAAGAAGAGGCTCATGAGGAAAAGCCTAAAACATTGCATTTTGAACCTTGAATATTTTATAGAAAACAGACCTTCTTTCACGATTTCTACGCCAGTAGATAATGCAGGGTAAGAACTTTACCTGTACTGTCATTTAAAGTACTAATGTGGTAAATTCCGGTTATTTTAAAATTTTATTGGAAGAGGTAATGAGGACATCCAATCCAGAACTCAGG